AGCGTCCTGCCCAACCCCCTCGCTCTGCCCTCCATTGTTGTTTGATCTCTGGAAGGGAAGAGGGAGCTTTCTCTGTGCTGCTGTTTTCATCCATAGCAATCTTTTTGTGAGTGACTTTACCCCTTTGTCCCTTGCCTTTAACCCCTCCAAAAACGGCAGTTCCCCCCAAAACAGCTCAACAACTTTGAGCTGACCCCCCCCCCAAATGGGGGTAGATCACTGCCAGCTTTTAATAAGTAGATCACAGTCTCTTGAGAGTTGGCCACCGCTGATCTAGTCCAAGCCCCTGCAATGCAGGAATCACAGCTAAAGAACAGGTAGCCATCCAACCTGTTGTTTGAAAACTTCCAGTGAAGGAGAGTCCATAACCTGAACAGCTCTTACCATCAGAATTACTTCCTAAAATTTAGCCAGGCTCTCCTTTCTTATAACTGGCTTCCTTTGGCCAGTGTCTTACCTTCTGGAGCAACAGAAAACAAGCTAGCTCCATCTTCCATGTGGCAGCCCTTCAGATATTGGAAGAGGCCTAGCATGTCACCTCTTAGTCTCCTCTTCTCCAGGCCGAACATACCCAGATCCCTCCACCGTTCCTCATAATAAGGCTTGGTTTCCAGGCCCTTTGTCAAGCCCCCGCTCTCTCTTCTGATGGTTCTTTATTTTTACACCAGACCTAGATCAGGCGAACCTTCAAACGGTGTGCATACCTTCAAGCACACACCGTCTCCTCTGAAAAGTAGCCCACAATCCACCCTACCTTTGCTCTCTTACTTTTGTGGAGAATCTCAAGCTGCCGTCCTCCATCAGATTTCTGCCTTTGCTCTCTTCCGTGCATTGACAAAGAAATGTAAGCAGGTGGCAGCACATCCCTCTGCTTCCGCTGTTCTCTGATGCCCACTTGGAAGCCTGTGGGCTTGACTTAATATGCTTTTCTGGAAAACTCATCACCCCGTCTCCGCGCAGTGTTGTTATCACACCAAGGGTGGCGAGTTTTGCCTTCCATCGACGTGACACCCTTCATTATTTAATGTCATTAATAGTAGGCCCTTGCTAAAACACCCTTCCTGGGCAGAGGGAGTGGAAGGGTAACTGTTTATCGGAAATTCAGATGTGCGAAATAAATACAAAATGAGTTTGCTGGAAGTGATTTTACTCCTGTCAGTTTCCATTTTCATGCTGCATGTCCCAGCTTGGATCCAGCCGCACTCAGCTGAAGTGGGCTGTAAATTCACTTGGGAAGGAACTAACTCGTAATAACAAATAAATATAGAAGGCAGAACACTGAAAGTGATTGGGCAATACCCTTGCTGTTGCAAGGCTGAGGAGGGAAACATATGCCAGACTCCGGCAAAAGGTCTATTTATAGCCAGGGGCTCCAGCCTAGGTTCTCTTCTTGCACCTGGGAGAGTCTCTGAGAAATGAAAGAAAATTCCTAATGCATTAACCTGATATATTAGATAGAGCTGTCCTAAATAAGTGCTTATGTTGTTATGGAGCACAGTAAACTGTATACCAGGAAAGGGGAATTTACAGCTAATTACACTAGGCACTGGCCCAAATTTTGCACTTGATGCCATTTTCCTGTGCTGCTTCACACCTCATGTTATATCGGTTGTCAGGTGTAGGACAGGTAAGGATGTGCTTACAGTAGAACAATCAGAGGTTTAAAGTGAGCTCCTGGTTTTTCATTGGCAAGCCCTGATATAGTGCACCTTGCTGTCAGTGCCAGTCATTTGTCAAAAACGAGCCTTGTTTTGCCCTTTGGCAGGCACAGTTTGAATCCAAGCTGCATTTTTAAAAATGGACTTTGAAGGGACTTGCTGTAATGAATGTCTTTGAATTTTGTCAGGTGGGTGGGGCTGTCCAGCAGATGGGGAAATTAAGGATCAGGCCCTCTACTCAGATCCAGTTCCTCACCCCTGCTGTATTCTCTGCTAATACTAAGGATCACTAATACCATCTGTTTTAGACCCAAACTTTTGCCACAGTAAACCATAACAAGGATCAGAAGCATGGGTGCTGAAGATATTGCAGATCTTAATATTGTGCAGCTTGAAGCAACTGGATGCATAAAAACTGACTCCTTTTGGGATACAACATTGTCCAGGTCCATAAGTTTGATTCAAGGCTTTACTTGCAGAACTTTCTTTAAAACAGAGCGAAAAAACAGTAAATGATGCATCCAAACAGTTCCATAAGATCATGTGCCTGTTTAGCACAGGCTCAGCTTCTTAGAAATAAAATAACTTATAATCACGGCTGACAAACATAGCTCTCTCTTTCATAGGTTCCATTAGCCTGCATTTCAGCCCCAAGAATGTCGAGTCAATGTATAAGGGCTTATGCATGCAGAGAAAAAGGAGAAGAAAGGTTTAAGTTGGTTCTGCTGTTTATTTTGGGTGTGTTTTGTCCTGCACCTGCAGCTAGTTAACCATGTGTGAATGAGTCAGCAAGCATGTGAAAGTGATTCAGCACAATCTACAGTATAAATACTGTTGTGTTTAAGGCAAGTTTGCTACTTGCCCCTGCCCTTGGCAGGAGCATAATCTGTATGACGTAAGGAGACTGTATCTACAACTGGGTATAACTGAAAACTGCATTATTGTCAGTAAAGCAACTGACTCCTCCTAGAACTAGTGTTTCTTTTGGCACACTCTGCTGGCATTAGGATGGGTGCATGCCCCAACAATTTACACATCCTTCCACTGGCGGAGGAAGAGGCATGCAGGGGGAGTGGCACACCACGCCCCCAGGCCGCTCTAGGCCTTGTGGGGTTTCCGGGGGCCGCCAGGCCTGGCACAACCTTCCAGAGATCTTGCACTGCGTCCGTCTGGAGAAGAAGCATCTCGTGAGCAGGAGGCTGAAGACAGCAAAGGTAAGAGGGAGGAAAGAAGGAGGACACAAGGAAGAGGTCAGCGGCAGGGAGGGGTGAACAACAGAGATTATTATTTTATTATGTTTTGAATTCATATACTGCCCTATACCTGGAGGTCTCAGGGCGGTTCACAGATGTGGGCATAGCTGTCAACTTCCAGATTCGAAAATAAGGGATCAGCAGCCTCACCTGTTCTGGGGACAGTCTGTGGGATATCTAACAATCAGGAATAGCAGGGGGAAGCAGCGGGAAAGGGCGCTGGAATAAGGGAATTTCCTGCAAAAAAAGGGAAGGTTGACAGCTATGGATGCGGGACGAACTCACAATATGTTAAGAGGGTATGGCATTTTCTTTTTTAATTACAGTGGTACCTCGGGTTACATACGCTTCAGGTTACATACGCTGCTAACCCAGAAATAGTGCTTCAGGTTAAGAACTTTGCTTCAGGATGAGAACAGAAATCGTGCTCCTGCGGCGCGGCGGCAACAGGAGGCCCCATTAGCTAAAGTGGTGCTTCAGGTTAAGAACAGTTTCAGGTTAAGAACGGACCTCCGGAACAAATTAAGTACTTAACCCGAGGTACCACTGTACCATTATTCAATATTTTGCACTATTACTAACATTTTTCTTCCTCTCTGCCCCTGCCCCCCCCCTACAAATGTGTCCTTTTTTTTTGCCTTTCGGAATATGGCAACCCTAAAAGAAGGCGATCTGTGTCTGAGGATGCTACAACTTTATTCCCTTGTCCTGGTGAGATAACTTCCTGTTGGGATTTAATTTTCCAGTGGCTTCTCCGCCCCCCCTTCTCTAAGGGTAGGGGATCCATCAAGAGGGTCTACCTGATGGACTGCATTGAATTTAAAGAAAACCACCGTGGTAAAAGCCTCCTTGTATGTGTCACACATGTGACACAGCCTATAAAGGTCTCAGATGCGCAGTGATGTCTGATGAGCTTCATTGCCCTCTGTGATGGTAACAAAAACATCACCTCTCTGTAAATGAGTGACGGGATGCCTGTGAGAGGTTAGCTCAAGTCAGGTAGCTGTCTATATGTGCTCTAAATGTCACTTCCTCTGGGAACAATGGAAAGTTTATTGTGATGAGTGACTGCTTTATATAGTGATTCATTGACAGAGATAATTGTGTGACTTATTGGAGAACAGGGAGGGGAGAGCTTTCCGGGGAAGCTCAGGAAATATGCAAGGAACGGAAGGAATAAGAGTCAGGTGAGTTTCCTTCTGATTCTGAAGTAACAAAGAAATTGATGCTGCTGCTGCTGAAAACAGAGTAGGAAATATGGATGTGTTGAGATGCAGCGGTTCCATCAGCCCTAAGCAAGCCAACAAGCAAACAAATGGGTTCAGATTTGGTGGTGTGCATTATTTACAACGCAATTCTGTGCATATATACCCCAAAGCGATTCTTGCTCTGTTCAAAGGGTCTTACTCCATAGTAAGTATATTTAGGACTGCATTCTTAATTGATCTGAATCATAGTCCTGGGGCTCCCTATTAACCTTTCGTCTATATCCAGATAATGGCTGGATGTCTGCACAATGGCAGTTGCTCCTTGCTGATACAGTATCTTGCTCTGTAACATGCCTTGAGGGCATGGGGTATAGCCTACACCAACCACCCACAGATTCTTTGGACCACATCTTCTCAAGCCAGGGAATGGTCAAGGATGATGGGAGCTGCAGTCCAAGACATTTGTTTTTTTTATATAAGATATTTATTAAAGTTTTCAAAATATTACAAAATGATAATAAAGAAAAAAGAAAAAGAAAAATAAAAAATAAAAATAATTAAAAACAACTCAATCTTTCCATTACTTATTTTTCATTAGCTTGTTTCCCGGACCTCCTCACACCTCCCTTTTTTGTATTCCAATTCAGTTTGTTGGTTCAGCAAATCCTTCCCCTCTTTGTTTATCCTAATCCTTAATCTTGAAGTATTGTAACATTAAATTTTTACCTGTTAGTAATCCATTTTTCATATTCCCTTATAGTATTGCAGCTAAAAACCACTTAATTTCTATCCAACATCATTCTAACATTCATTAATTTTACAATATTTCTGTAAATAGTCTTTAAATTTCTTCCAATCTTCTTCCACCGACTCTTCTCCCTGGTCTCGGATTCTGCCAGTCATTTCTGCCAGTTCCATATAGTCAATCACCTTCATCTGCCTTTCTTCCAGGGTGGGTAGATCTTGTGTCTTCCAATACTTTGCAATAAGTATTCTTGCTGCTGTTGTGGCATACATGAAAAAAGTTCTATCCTTCTTTGGCACCAATTGGCCGACTATGCCCAGGAGAAAGGCCTCTGGTTTCTTCAAGAAAGTATATTTAAATACTTTTTTCAATTCATTATAGATCATCTCCCAGAAAGCCTTAATCCTTGGACACGTCCACCAAAGGTGAAAGAATGTACCTTCAGTTTCTTTACATTTCCAACATTTATTATCGGGCAAATGATAGATTTTTGCAAGCTTGACTGGAGTCATGTACCACCTGTATACCATTTTCATAATATTCTCTCTTAAGGCATTACATGCCGTAAACTTCATACCTGTGGTCCATAACTGTTCCCAGTCAGCCATCATTATATTATGTCCAACGTCTTGTGCCCATTTAATCATAGCAGATTTCACCGTTTCATCCTGAGTATTCCATTTCAACAGCAAGTTATACATCTTTGACAAAATCTTAGTTTTGGGTTCTAACAGTTCTGTTTCTAATTTTGATTTTTCCACCTGGAAGCCAATTTTCTTGTCCGAGTTATATGCCTCCATTATCTGATAATAATGAAGCCAATCTCGCACTTTGTTTTTTAGTTTCTCAAAGCTCTGCAATTTCAGTCTATCTCCCTCTTGTTCCAAAATTTCCCAATATTTCGGCCATTTGGCCTCCATATTGAGCTTTTTCAGTGCTTTTGCTTCCATCGGTGACAGCCACCTTGGAGTTTTGTTTTCCAATAAATCCTTATATCTTATCCAGACATTAAACAATGCTTTCCTGACAATATGATTCTTAAATGCTTTATGTGCTTTGACCTTATCATACCACAGATATGCATGCCATCCAAATACATTGTTAAAACCTTCTAAATCCAAAATGTCTGTGTTTTCAAGAAGCAGCCATTCTTTCAACCAGCAAAAAGTTGCTGATTCATAGTAAAGTTTAAAGTCTGGCAGGGCAAATCCACCTCTTTCCTTTGCATCTGTTAGTATTTTAAATTTTATTCTGGGCTTCTTGCCCTGCCAGACAAATCTAGAAATATCTCTCTGCCACTTCTTGAAACAGTCCATTTTATCCACAATTTGCAATGTTTGAAACAAGAACAACATTCTAGGCAATACATTCATTTTTATCGCAGCAATACGACCCAACAGTGAAAGCTTCAAATTTGACCAAATTTCTAAATCTTTTTTCACTTCGGCCCAGCATTTTTCATAATTGTCTTTGAATAAATTCCCATTTTTTGCTGTCATATTAATCCCCAGGTATTTCACTTTCTTAACCACTGTTAAGCCTGTCTCATTCTGAAACCTCTCTCTCTCAATCGGTGTTAAATTTTTCTCTAAAACCTTGGTTTTTAACTTATTCAGTTTAAATCCTGCAACCTGACCAAATTCTTGAATCAGTTCTAAAACCCTTTTAGTACTAGATTCTGGCTCATGTAACGTCAATACTAAGTCATCTGCAAATGCTCTCAATTTGTACTGTTTAGCTCCGACTTGTATACCTCTAACCAACTGGTCCCTTCTAATCATATTCAGCAAAACCTCCAGGACCGATATAAAAAGCAATGGGGAAATTGGGCAACCTTGTCGTGTCCCTTTTTCTATCTTAAATTCTTCCGTCACCACATTATTTACAATTAGTTTAGCTTTTTGTTCTGAATAAATTGCACCTATACCGTTTTCAAAGCCTTGGCCTACCCCCATCCCCTGTAGGTTCTTCTTCATAAAACTCCAAGAGATATTATCAAAAGCTTTCTCCGCGTCCACAAATATCAAAACTGCTTTAGTATTTATGTTCACTTCTAATTTTTCCAAAATATTAATTATATTCCTCAAATTGTCTGACAAGTGTCTTCCTGGGAGAAAGCCCGCTTGGTCTTTATGAATCTCTTCCATCAAGACTTTTTTCAATCTCTTGGCCAAAATATCTGCAAAAATTTTGTAATCCACATTAAGTAATGACATGGGGCGGTAGTTCTTAAATTGTGTCTTTTCAGTCTCTGTTTTCGGTATAAGTGTAATATACGCTTCTTTCCACGACTCTGGTGCCCTTTTCCCTTCCAATATTTCATTGCAGACTTCCTTTAAAGGTTGTACTAACCACTCTTTCAAAGATCTATAGTATCTAGAAGTCAGCCCATCCGGTCCTGGAGATTTGCCTAGTTGCATGTTTTGAATGGCACCTTCTACTTCCTGTTCAGATATTTTATAGTTCAACATTAATTTACTTTCTTGAGAGATTTTTTGTAGTCCATTTATCTTCAAAAATCGGTCTATATCCATTTCTTCCGGTGGTCCTTGTGTATATAATTGTTTAAAGTACCTCTGGAAACAGTTTCTAATCTCAGCTGGGTTGTGTATGTTCTTTCCTTCCACTTCTAAATTTGTAATAGTGTTTAATTTTTGTCTTTTTTTCATTTGCCAAGCCAGCAATTTCCCACATTTATTAGCTGATTCAAATGTTTTTTTGTCTCATTTGTTTAATTTTCCATTCTATTTCCTGATTCATCATTTCCATATATTGTACTTGATATAACTTTATTTCTCTTAAAATCTCCTGCGACTTTGGTTTTACTCTCAATTTCTTCTCACTTTCTTTTATTTTCTCCAAAATTTTATCTTTCTTCTCATTTTGGCTTCTCTTCTTTATTGCATTCTGTTGTATCAGGAACCCTCTCATAACCGCTTTGCTTGCGTCCCAGATTACTCTTTTTCAACATTGGTGTTCATATTTATCTCAAAATAGTCTCTCAAGGTTTTTTGGGCCTTCTTAATCACTTCTTCATCTCTAAATAAGGTGTCATTCATCCTCCATCTGAAGGAATCGGTTGGTGTTAGTTTCATTTCCATCTTAACAGCATTATGGTTGGAGCAGGTTTTTGGGCAGATTTCCACTTTTCTTATCTTTGGTGCCATTCCTCTAGTTACCCATATTTGGTCAATTCTTGTCCATGTCAGTTTGGCTTCAGAGAAGAAGGTTCCCTCTCTTCCCAGGGGGTTCTTTGTTCTCCAAATGTCGACTAAGTCCAAATTGTCTGTCATCTCAAAAAATGTTTTCGGTAGTCTACCATCCTTGGTGACTACCTGTCTTTGTGCCTTATCCATATTTGTAGATACTACTCCATTCATGTCCCCCATCAAGATCAAGTTGTAGTCCAAATAGTCCATTAAGGTCTCATGCAACTTTTTGAAGAATTCAGATTTCCCCTCATTTGGTGCATAAACTCCTACTATCAAAAATTTCTCTCCTTGAACTTGAATTTCAATTGCCACAAATCTTCCTTGATCGTCTTTAAAAATGAATTTCGGTGATAGTCTCTCCTTTGCATAGATCACTACTCCTCTTTTTTTTACTTTGTCAGATGAAATAAACTCCTGTCCCAATCTCTTGTTAATCAATACTTTCCTATGTAGCCTTATCACGTGTGTTTCCTGTAAGCAAATCAAGTCCAATTGTTCCTTTTTAGTAGATGAAAAACACTTTTCCTTTTCCGAGGGGAGTTGAGGCCATTACAATTCCAACTTAATAGTTGCAGAGCCATAATGTTATTACTTTGCTTTACCTCCAACTGCGCCAAGTGTTTGTTCTTGTTCTGTCGGTGGTGTCACTTTCTCTGAGCCATGCAATCCAAAAGATAAGTTTGCTATGTCTAGTATTCCTCTTTCCAGTGCTTTTGGCTCTTCTCCAGATTCCACTTCTTTCTTGCAGTCCAAGACATTTGAAGGATACAAGATTGGGCAATGCTGGGCAGTGAGAGTGAGGGGAGGTAACCAAATCAACCCCCCCCCCCGTTAATTTCACTGCTGTCTCCACATGCCTATCTTTATTTTTCTTGGGTTGCCTAGACTAAACAGCCCAATCCACTTGCAATGATGGGTTGAGTATGGGACACAGGCAAGTGGTTAATTGCAATGACCCAGAAACACCCCCTCCAACCCCCCCATGCTCTTACTTAAAGCTTTGTAAGGCAACAAGTTAAACAGTTTCTGACAAAAAGATTTTAAGAAAAAGTGAACAATTTGAATAATTAATAACCCCTAGCAGCAGAGGGCCAGGTAGAGAGGTCTGGAGGGCCACATTCATCACCTTAGGCCTGAGGTTCCTTATCACTGTTGTATTCCTATCAAGTAATGTGTTTTGAAGTCATGCTTTTCTCATTTTATGTCGAAGAGTAACACTGACCTTGTGTTATCCTTGTGGGAATTCCTGCATTTCCTGTAATCACCAATAGGAATGCTTTATTTCTTTCCTTATTTCCATCATGGAACAAAAGGCAGTGTATATGTGGTTCTTAGGCAGTCACCCATCCAAGCACTGACCTGCTCAGCTTAAGCAAGTTGGTAGCCTCACATACCCTCAGGCCACACCCTGAGACCTTTATGTTTAACTTTATGTTGAAAAAATAATGTTGTATAAGCCACCCTGGATCTGTGGGAGAAAAGAAATTACATAAATAAGTCAAGGTGCTCTTCGAATCCAAACATTCTAGCCTTTTTGCACCTCACTGTCCTATCGATCTTCCCGTTTGCTCTATAAATGTTACCTGCACCACAATTTTATGCATTCGTTTAAAAACTGGGGATAGGTTTCCAAAGGCAGAAATAGCTCCTGGGCAGCTGGTGCCAACTGAAAAAACAAACGAGACTCTGAATGTCATCTCTGTCTCTGCATAACTGTCCTTCTGCTGCTCCCCATCCACTGGAGGTATCAAAGCAACCCTTAAATACAGCTGTCTTGAGCGGTCCTGGCCCACCTCAGGGAGAACGTGGTTACATTTTGCACTCGGCCTACAGATGATGGATGATCCTCCCTGAGAAGGTGAACTTCAGGTTGAGGTCAAGCCTCTGACAACTGACGAGTCTGCCGAGTGTCAGCTCTCTCAATTGCAATATAATGATCTGTCTTCCTTGGTGCAGGCAGGACTTCAATAGCAAAGCAGCATCTGAAGTGCTGGAGTTTAGCAGCATCTATGAAGTAGTATAGTGGGTAAAACCTCTTAGTCTAGTATTACGCACTTCTCTGAAAATCAGCCTGACCTTTAAGCATGGGGCAACTGGACAAAGGAGTCAGCTTGGCAACGATGAGACATGTGATTTTCTTAGGCTGTCCAACCTACTGTGTGGGTGTTTCTCCTGGCTATGCCCACACTCTGGGAGAATAGAAAACCAAATTATTAGTTCTAATAAATCCAAACACAACAGATAAAAATACACATTTTTCTCTGATGGCAGAGTATGCTCCAGGAGTTCATTGATCATTTTAAGTATTGTGGCTCTTTCTATCCCTTTCATTGCCTCTTTTGCTGCTTGTTGTGCTTGTTTTACAGTAGTCTTAGTTTTATGTTGACTATAATATGTCTTAAGGGTCTCCTTTGGATGGGAAAGGCAAAGTATAAATATTAAGGTTGCAGCCTTTAATTAGGGATGCTTTTTTAGTAGACTAATGGCACAATCACACACAAGTATACTCAAAAGTTTCATCGAGTTCAATGGGACTTACTCCAAGATAAGCATGTAAAACACTGTTTTCAGAGTCATTTGTGTAGAACCTGTGGCCCTGATGGTGTTGTTGAACTACAGCTCCCATCATCCCTGATCGTTGGCCAAGTTGTCTGGAGCTGATGGGAATCATAGTCCAATAGCATAGGGAGGGCCACAGGTTCCTCATCTCAGGTGCAGCGAGCATATTTGTGTTAGGAAGAGAGGGAAAGTTGCATATATATGATCTAAACAGTGTTGCATTCAGTTAGCATCTGCAATCTGCATCCTAGCATGAGCCAGTCACTTACTGCTCCCTCCCACACAATACATGTAAATAAGTGACTGACATAACAGAAGTGGGCTTCAGATGATGAAATTCAACAAAGCCAAATGTTAAGTCCTACTTTTTGGTAC